TATTAATACATAGATATTACTTTGATGATTTTTTTTTAAATTGAGTGGGGGTGCCATATGGAACTTGTACCCTTTTTATCCCAAGGTGGGTCAGTAATAACTTTACTAATTTATAATGCAAAAATTCTCAGTATGATTCCCCATTGTTCACAAAGCACAATTTGCTCATTGTGCTCATTATTATACTAAAACAAAACAATCAATCAAACAATGATACTTCTTCATAAATTAGCTTTTCTTAATCTTTTATTTTAAACTTCATTTGCTTGAAATTGCCCTTATGTTAAAACTGTTTATTTTTTAGAATATATATATTCCTGTGGCAGATTTGTCATTGTCAAATTCTACAAAGGCTACAAATATGACTTTGCATCTGAAATAAACTTCAGTGTGAAAAAAGACTGCTACTGTAATCAACTGAAAGTTGGTAAGTTTTGTTTATGAATTTTCAGACAGATATGACTTAATTATGTTGATGAGAAAATGTTTTTATTTCCAATCAGCTAAACTTGGGGGGGGGGGGTCTTTTATACATATCATAGTTTACCAAATTAACAAAATTTTTCTGAATGAAAAATGTTATGACAATTATAATCCATTCATATTATGTTATCAAATGTCTGAACACCATTTAAAATAACTTCATCTAAAAGATTCAGACCATCAAATTGATTTGGAATCAACAAGAATTTTATATAAAATTGAGATTAAGCAAAACAGCTTCTCGATATACTGTATCCTTAAGGGAATTCAAAATTCCAGGACTATTTAGGCATTGCTAACCAATTTTCCTGTTATAAGACAATGTGAGACTGAAGAGGACATGTGATGTCCAAAGTAATTTTTCAGTATTACAACTTTTTTTCACTAATCATGCTACCAGGTCAGAATATATTATAGGATTTATTTTGGGGCTATGCTCTTCCCAAATAAATATTCCCTGGACAAATACCCACCTTTTCCAGCTAACTCGGTACTTATTGAATGGCCATTGTAATGTATGATGGATTATATTAACTTATTTTTTCCATTGTTCAGATCCTTCTTTTATTATAGGTATTTTTTACGTTTTGCTCATTTTTTCATGCATAATTAAACATTTCATATTATCAATTAATGAGGAGCAATTTTCATGATATATTTCTTGCCAAGGTTTTCTTATTTGTAGATACATATTAACACATTTTGTCATAGCATCTACAGTTTGAAAGGTTTTGAAAACTTTTTTTTTTTCAATAATTAGATGTTTCTTATTAAACATGCACTTTAGTGGAAAATAAGACTGAAATAAAGGAAAATTTTTGTTGATACAACCAAAGTTATAATCTTTTAGCAGTAATGAGAGTTTAAGGCTGCCAAATTTTGCAACTGGTCTTAGCTTTTACACTTACTCTAGCTTGTAATTTTGCAAGTTACAAAATAAAGCATAGATCACTTTTTATCCTATCAGGACTAAGTGGATGTTGCAGTTTTGAGCTTTATCATCTCTTGTCAAACTAAGATATTAAAAAATGATGAAGGGAAGTTCGTTTTTTTACACCCTTATTATCATGATAATAATAATAAATTTAGTTTAAGAAGTTGCATTATTAAATCTAATACTCATGTTTTATTTCAATTGTGGACTTATAGATTCTAAAATGATATACATACCAACTTACATTAGAAAAGAAATTTATATGACAAGCTGATGTTTGCCATTGAAATACAGCAGCTAAATTAATGAGAGCAATATAACTGAAAGACGCAATGCTAATTTGTCATGGTGTGGTCTTCACAATGTAATGTGTGTGTGTGTGTGTGTGTGTACTGTTATGTGTTACCTTACAGCCCAGAAATTATGTTCATGACCATTTAATATTGCTTTTCAATTAGGTTTCTATATCTTACTAAGTGCAAAAGAGCCTTGGAATGTAATGG